AAAAAAAAAAAAAAAAAAAAAACCCAGAGAGGAGAGGAAACAAAGGCGTCAGCAATTTTGTTAGCTCATTTCCAAATTATATGTAAAGCATATATTTGTGTATATATATCGATAGAGAATATTGTCTTTTACAGAGGGATACATATACAGATACATAAACATATGCTTTACCTAATTCAAGTTAGCTTTATTTATTTGCGTTAGTATACCTCAGTTGGTGCATCAGTCTGTTTTTGAAAATAAACTATACAGACACCATTTCTATGGTTGTTAATCGACCTAGATCAATGATCATTCTACCTGTTTCGACAATGACGCTTATTATTACGTAAAAGAGCTGCTAAGATACTATGGTTTACTAATGATCAGAAAATTTAAATACAAATTTTTTTTTTTTTTGAAAGTTCACTAGTATCATCCGTTTATACTGTCTTTCCAATGATACAGATAAGCAAAAATGTTTACAAATGTTTCCCTCCTCAAAATAAAAAAATTGCTCATCTTTATATCATATCGATTGCTCACAAATGGTTATTTTTTTTTTTTGCCTCCATTGCTGATCACTCAAACTATGACAATGAAAACTGCCTTCAATTTATTATTGCTGCCAAATAGCCGTCAATGAACAATAACAAAAAGAAAAAAAAAAAGCCGATAGTAAAACAACAACTCCTCAGGAGTACTGATCATTAAAACAACATTTTCCTCAAACATTCATTAATATTTGACGCATCCATTAGCTGTCCTGAAAAAAAAAATAATTCTTTTTCTATAATGGGTTAAATCATCCATATAAAGTGCCAACTTTTAGCCTCTATTTTTTTCCTGTTAATAGATAATTATTGATATCTGATGTTCCTACTTTCTATTTCCTTATTACTCTAGTCAACAAATTTTTGTCATCCAACCAAAAACGTATGTATACAAACAATCATTCGTTTTTCAGTTTTTTCAGTGCCATCATTACACGTCTGATCCACAACAATACATTTAAAAATTGGAGTGTGAAAAATGTAACAAGCGGAAAAAAAATACTTGAAAATCAAACTTATTTTCGCTGTTCCCCAAAAAAAAAATAAAGCAATAATATAGGGTCATCTATAAAAAAGATCTCTACCCGAAAACAACAGATTGTAAGAAGAAACTGTCAACTATATTCACTGTTAGCCTATCGAGAATCAAGCTGCCCTACTGAAAATAAGCCAAAGATGATCAAATTTCTAATAATCGCTCTGTACTACAGTGATTTAACAACAATTTTTCTTTTTTATCTAATTCGACATACAGTATATAGCTCATCAAAAAGTTTTTATCCTCTTCAACTTTTACCTTCACCTGCCTAATACAGTAAAACTAAATAATGCAAAATAAAAACAAATTCTATTTTTTTTTTCCAAACAAATAAACGCAACAAAAAAGTGACAGAAAAAGTTTTTTGTTTAAATCTATTTTGAAATTGAGAGCAATGTTAATAGTTTGAAGATTAGTTCAATAGAACTGATAACAAAATAGATTGACAATTATTATATGATACAGCAAGTTACACCCATTCAAAAAGGGAAAAAAAATCCTTTTTTTTTTTCTGTTCCTCGCCATTTTGTCTGTTTAACGACATAAAATCAGTAGCTGTATTAGTCAGTGCCAGAATTTTATACTGTACACGGAATCCTAAAAGTCACCATCACTTTAATGTCATCTGTACCATGTCAAAAAGACAAGAAAAAATTTTACTGTAAACAATTCATCTTTCATGATCATCACGGCAAAATTTATCAACTTTTTTTTTTTTCCTAGAAAATATTTGTCTTCCTTCTTCTTTTCCTTGCATTCGTTCTTTTTTTCTTTTTTCAAGATAATAAAAAGAAAATCTCTTTCTCGTCAAAAATTACCACCTGTAGAAAATAAAAAATGGAAAAAAAAATGACGATCATTGACACTTCAGCAGTACTAATAAGTATTTTCAATGGTATACCGGCGACTATATCAAGCGTAAAAATACACTCAGATATATTTGACAATGAAACGCAATCACACATCATACACCGAACTTTGCTATATGATGTGCGATTATTTTAGTCTATAGAAGTTTGATATCATACCAAATTTCTTCTACGGAGTCCTCTTGACACCATCTTCATCATCAGTATCATAATGCTCAAAATTTATAGAGCTTTAAAATAACACCAATAACAAAACAAATACGATAAAACCATAGTCGGTTTTTTCCTCAGAGAGAAAGAAGAACAGAGAAGTGAGGAAAAAAGACCTCACCAGACACGGAAACTCAATTTAGAAGCATCTCAGAATAAATAATGCACAGCCTCAAAAAATCGTTATTGCTCTTCTCTCTTCAGCAAATGTATCCACCGGTAGTCCGTTGTCAAATCTATGTATCAATAATCCATAAAATTTGTTTTAAACATCTATTTGCAAAATATTAACAAAAAAAAAACACACACACACAGACATAATAACTGCCAACAATTTTGGCATAATGGAAATAATAAAATGATGAAAGGAAAATAAAGGAAAAGAAACAGCACCAAGTTTCATTTTCAAAGAAAAAAGAATAAATATATGAATAAATAAAAAATAAAAACCTTCAAACTATTTATATCCATACTAAAGATATAGTTAAAAAATACAGTTGTTTTTAGTGTTGAATTAAAACTAAGCAAAAATTTAAACAGACCAACTAACTGCTAAATTGCTTATAAGCTGTTTCAGTTAGCTAACCACTTAATCCAGTGATAAAAATTGCCGATAAAAATAAATCATAAGAATAATATAAGCAACTTATTATCAATATTTTTTTGTTTTTTTCTTGTTGTCATTTTTTTTCCACTTTTTTTTCCCCCCTTTAAGTCTTTAGCAAAATTTTTACTAAGATTTTAGCCTAACCAATTGATATCAATAGAACAGCAGTAGCAGCGGCAGCTGCTACGGTAAAAACAACACCAACAACAGCAAAAGCAGAAGTGACAGCAAAAAAAAAAAAAAAAAAGGTATTTGCTAAGCTAACAGAAAAAATTTTTTTGATATTTTTTGCTTCTACTTTTCTTTCTTAGAATCACCTTTTTTTTTCTTCTACTTCCTTCTTTTTCTCTCTTCAAAAAAAAAATAAAGAATTCAAATTATTAGCTGTAAATATTCAACAGTAAAACTAACGCTCCCCACCTTTCTTCAGTACCCCACCCTAATCGACTCATCAACAACAATAGTAAACGATGGTCAACTTTTTCATATATTTTCTAGCCATCAGACCAGAGATGGCCTACTGACTTACTGACTAACTGACTAACTAACTAATCGACTAACCTATTGACTGATTGATCATCTAACTAACCGACAATAATAAAGTTTCTTTTTTTTTTTTTTTTTT